GGGGGCTCCCAGTCGGGCAGAGCGCCCGCCGCGGGGTGCTGCGTGTGCTCCCAGGGCCCCGCCTGGGAAGGGAAGGGATCTTTGTCCCCCGCTTTACCGGGATGGAAGCTGGACTGCTCCTGCTCTGCGTCTCTGCTATCGGGCCCGTCAGTGTGGAGAGGTGGGGGGTCCCGGCTCCCAGGTGCACCTGGAGGGTGGTTCTGCTCCCCGGGTGCGCCGCTACCTTGGAAATCCTGCTCTGCTGGTGCTCCGGTCGGGAAGTGAAGTCGGTTCTCGGGCAGACCCGTATAGAGGTGGAGCTTGTCTGGAGCACCAGCAGAGAGATGGAGCTTTTCTAGAGCTGTGCCAGCTTCAGCCTCTCCATAATTTGTGCTTTCAGAGTGAGCCTCTCCTGGCCTTTTCTGAGACTGAGCGGAGGCTTGCTGGGCGGACTCGGCTAACGCTAGGGCTAGCATGCGCGCTGCGTTTTTCGGAGGAGGAGGAGGGATAAGAGACACAGAACTGACGGGAACAGGATCCTGGGGGGAGTCGAGGGCAACTGCTCCTAATGGGGGGAAAATTGAGAGAGAGAGTGATTTTATGTTACCCAATAAGGAGAGTGACTTCTATTAAAATAAGAGGCTTTTCCACACTTTCACAGTGGCAACTCCTCCTGATGTGAAACGCTCTATCTTCTGTCTCACATGCAAACGCTGCTCAACAGCACAGCAGTTCGTCACAAAAAGAGGGGAAAAAAAAAACCCACAAGAGATTGTCTTAAAGGTTCCTCTTGCGTTTCTAGAGAGGTAGGAAGTAGGTAGCAGAGAATGAGATACCCTTACACAATTTTGATCATAAGGTTTTAGGCGGAAAGGTCCCTTCTTCGAGCGTTGGCAGATTTTTAATTTAAAAAAGAAAAGTCTTAGATGGTTTATTGCTGAAATGATTTAGAAGGACATGCTATCGATTTGCACGTATGACAGGATGGGGTGGGGAAAAAAAAAAAGTGGTATACAAAGTATTATGGAAAATTAGCTGAGGTTTGTGTGATGTAGGGAGAAGGCAGAGGTTAAGACCTTACTGATCTGCACAGCCCTGCAAGACACTTGTGATCAGAACTGACGGGCAATCCCCTCTCTTAAAAGGCACGCAGAGGAGGACGTTTCTGAGAGCAGGTCCCCTTTGGAACTTAAAGAAAGAATGGAGGAAAATGCACTGTACCTGGCTGTGCGTGTCCAGTGGGTACAGTCTTATTCTGACTGCTTGACATTGGTCTCTCCCCTTCTTCTGGCAACTCTGGCTTGCCAGCAGCCACTAGCTGGGCGTGCTGTAGCTCGTGGTGGGCTCCTTCCCCTGCTCCCGTTTCACTGTTTTTCAGGGGTAAGGACATCTGGGTTGGGGACCTGTTTGTGGTGTCAGTGATGGCAATCCCTTTGCTCCAGCTGGAAGCAGAGGAGTTTCTGGATGCGACGGGCCCTCCTGCGACGGTCTCCGAGACGCGGCTGGGCAGGGCGAAGGAGGCAGGTTCTGCTGTGCTCAGGGGGGGAGATTTGATGGGCTTTCGTCCCAGCTTGGGTGAGAAGGTGTGGGTGTTGCAGGCCTGCTCTTCAGTTGGGCTCAGGTCCAGAGTAAAGAAGGGACTCATCTTCTCTTGGAAAGGGGAGACCGGCTCAGAGCTCGTGGCACTGCCCGGCGTCTGGGACTGGCTGCCTGATTCCACGTCCTTCTTTAGCAGGCTTGGCTTCTCCTTATTTAAGCCCACCGACTCCAGCAGGGAGGTGCTGCTGTCCAGGCACTCGGACTCCGCCTGGGGCGGGCTGCACTGAAAGGACATGGGGTCAAAATCCAGGCTGGCGACCCCGATATCCGGGGGGCTCAGGTCGACGTCTTCGGCGGACCGAGGGGAGATGAGGGCGGGGACGTGGATGAGCCCCTCGTCCCCCTCGCTGTCGTTGTCGTGGGGGAGGTTGTCGTAGGAGTTGCAGCGGTTCATGTTTCCCAGGAGCTCCCCGTTGAAGGAGGCCGACAGCGCGTCGCTGCTGGACCTGGGCCTCCTGGGCCGGAACAGTTTGGATTCCCCTGGGAGCGAGCAGAGGCAGATGGGTTAGCAGCAAAATCTCCCTCTCCAGGGAACTTTAAACCAGGGGGTTTAAGGGAGTCTGAAGGCAGCGTGCAAGGTGCTCGCCTGGTGAACTCTGAACACAGTAATGTAGATAGCAGTAGCTGTTTATTATATTTGCTCAAACACTTTTATGGCTGTTGCCAGGTCTGATTTAGCCTGAAGCTAAGCTGTGTGCAAAAGCAAAAATGGTTTTACATGTGCTGCAGACCTGAGGCTTCCTCAGAAACCATTTTCCTTCGTGTCTTTTCCACCTTAGAGAAGAGGTAGCAAGGAATGAACATAACCAGTGCCAGCCATACAAAAGCAAGAGCTTTACTTTTTTACCTTAGAAGGAAAGCAAAGACCTGAAGAGCATTTCTCTGTGGTACCCATCTGTGTGGAGCAGTGGTAAGCTGCTTTGTTAATTAGCAAGTCCAGCTCTTACTGGCAGGGTGGGAAGTGTGCCCTGTGAAATAGCTGCAGCCGGTGATGTCAAACTGCCTTTTTTTTAACCCACAGGCACGAGAAGCACAGGTACCATTCCATCTTACCATCCACAGCATGCAGGGAGGTCAGGGATTCCTCACTCTTAGCCGAGCGAAGGGTCCCGCTGTCTCCTCGTCCACCTGTGGGGATGCAATGAGACAGTGAGGAGCTGAATCAGAGGAGTGGTTTACATCCAGCTATATAAAAAAACCCAAAGGTGTTTCTACCAACAGTACCCCTGTCCTGAGCTTAACAGCTGTGCTTTTGTTGTTTTGGGATTTTTTGGGGTTTTATTCTGAAGCTTAAAGAAAAGCTTTACCCTGTTCCACTGTTAATAGCTGTGCTGCCTGAGACAGAGAAGTCCTTTTGCATGGGGCACTGGCCTGTGGAGGTCCCTTCAACCTGTGGTTCCATGCTACCAGGCAATCAAAAGAGTGAATCAACTCTGTTTTTATGGTAAAAGTCCCCTGTTAAAATGGGAACTGGCTGGGAAACAACTGACCCCATCATCCTGCTACAGACTCTGGATGTAGCTGTGATAACTGGTGGGCTCCTGGCAGCAAACAAAACACCTTAAAAATGGGGAAGAACTTAACGTTTGCACAACTTGTTTTATGAGCACTAAATGAGTGTGATTTTGCTGCTGCAGGGACAGTCTTAAAGGGCATACAAATAATGTGTTTATTATACTCAGCACCAGGAGAGTTACAGCTTGAAAATGGCACCAGGGATAAAAGTCCTCACTGACCCAGTTTTAGGGGTTTGTGGTGTGTTTTACCACAGAAACACATTGTCACTGTTTCTGAATGTAAACTACACGTAGAAAGGGCTGAGAATTCAGTCTGCGTATGTTGGCTGCAGCTACAAAAGGTTGTTGTATGCCTTCTCTGGTACAGCTTTTGGGGTGAATATTTCTGAATGTAAACTACACGTAGGAAGGGCTGAGAATTCAGTCTGTGTATGTTGGCTGCGGCTACAAAAGGTTGTTGGATGACTTCTCTGGTACAGCTTTTGGGGTGAATTGTGGAAAAAATGCCTTAATTATGTGTCTCTAGAGAGCAGTGAAGGCAGCCAGAACCGTGTTCTTATTTTATATTAAGAGGCATTATTCTGAGGCTTATTATAGCAGTGCCCAGAAGTTGTCTTTTAAAAGCTGCTCTGACAAACCAATCTCGAGGTTTGGTTCTTGAGCTCATGGGAGTCTGTTCAGGCAGCAGCTAAGTGGAGGTGCTATGCATGCCTTGAACGCTAGAAGGAGATAAAAGCACGCTGGAAAGGCCAAGTCTGCCGGGCTGACAAGCCCAGTTTTTCAGGTGGTGTGTGTTTGGGAGGTGGGTCTGCACCCTCACCTGCCAGGGCTATGGCTTTCATCTCCGAGGGCTCGCTGGGGTTGCGCTGGAGCTTGCGCTTGGACACGGAGGAGGATTTCCCCAGGTTGAAGAAGGAACGCCAGCTGCCCACGGGGGACTTCTTCATCTTGCTGGGGGGTCTTTTTCTGGAGTGAGAGAACAGCCAATTGTTACAGGGGGAAGCTGCATTTAGTTCCTTCTTATGAGCACCAGCTGGTTTCTGCTGAAATAAAAGGTTAGTAACAGAGCTGCTTTTCAATAGCCAAAGATGTTTTCATTCTTATAGCTCTGCCCTGGAGTCTTGCTGGGTAAATGCCACCAAACTATGCAAAGTGGGTGCACTGCAGGTGAGCAAAGGCTCCATGCTTTTCACAGTAGCCAATAGATGATTTTTATTTAGCTGGCAGATGCACCAGTTCATTGTGGAACCGTGCTGCCATCAAAGGTATTCAAAAGCTTCTCCTGCTCACGCTGTAAAATCACATCCACCTCCTCCCACTGACACATTTAATTTCTCTAGTGTCATCAACACTGCTCCACTTCAAGGGGAACCTGGATTTGTGACAGGGTACTAAGTCCAGAAATCTGGAAAACCCCAGTGCTTCCAGGCATTCACCCTGTTTACATTTCTGTGTGTGACGAGTCCAGGCATCTCTATGCATCACCTACAGCATGGCCTTACACATTTAATGATCACCCTCCCAAAAAGGAGGGAGGGGTACAGAAGTTATCCAGCTAACCTAACTCCACCAGATAATTGATGCAGGCTGAATCCTCACAGAGTCCAAAGCAGGTGGAAAAATGGCTACAATGCTTCACATAGAACTAGTCTAAGTCGATACTGACAAGTTTTTGCTGCAGTTAAAAAAAAAAACCAAAACAGCATAACCCAGTTATGACACATGCTGGAGAGGAAACTCATCTCTACCTTTCAGATGGGAAGTCTATGAATATTGGCAAGTTTTTGCTGCAGATAACTGGGTTGTGTTGTTTTGTGTTTTTTTGTTTTTTTTTTTTATGACACATGCTGGAGAGGAAACTTGTCTCTACCTTTCAGATGGGAAGTCTATGACCGTGTGGAATTTCCCCTGTAAAGCTGCAGGGCCTTCTCCCACTTCTATGTACTTGCTGTCTGCCACGATGGGAGAGTTGATCTGGGCTTGTGTCCGTGCCTGCGCCTCCTCCAGCGTCAGCAGCTTGGTGGAAGGGGAGGACACCAGCAGAGACTTGGGTCTGGATAAAGAACTGTGCCCTGGAAGGGAAAACCACAGGCAGCAGAGAGAATCAGAAAGCAGCAGTATGGAGATCAAAGCTCTGGGTCTGTGTGTCTAGGGAGGTGCCACGTTTGTCTAAATCTGTTACCCCAGCCAGTGAAAGATGTGGTCAAAACAACCATTTTGTCAGAGGTATGTTTATGTTTCAGGCATAAAATCTCAATTATGAGCAGCTTAGTGGATTAAAAAAAAAAAAGCCAAGTGAAGCAGGTAGGTTGAACACCTTCACTGACATACTCAAGCTTCACCTGCTTGCAGAAGCCTGTACAGAAAGTGATGTTTTCTCCTCCTTGCAAAGCCTGGCTTCAGTCCTCCTTGGGAGCAGTGGAGAGGAGGGTGCTGTAGCAGAGTACTCATGCACTAAGCTGCTGTGCTGGGAAACAGCCTGACCCTCCTCCCCACCAGTTTGTTTTGTGTCAAAGCAGGCTGAATGGGAATGACCAAGTCATTAAACAATTAGCTGAATTTACATGGCCCATTCTAAGCCTGGATAATCATCTGGCTCGGACTCTTAGTGTGCTTATCTTGCCCTGGCAGAGCTCAGCCTGCTGTGGGCTCTCACTGTTCAGCCAAGAAAACTTCTGGCTCCTGTTGACTTAAAATTGCCTTGCAGTAGGAACAAAAGCTGGACTTAGCAGAGTTAGTCTATCCTAAGTAGAGGTAGGGCTCCTTCAAAAGTGGGGAGCAGCAGGCAGACTGGAAAACCAGCTCCTGAGCTGCACTGACTGTGCACATCTCAGAGGAAGGGCGAGTTACCAAAGCAGATGGTACACACTTAATGCTGCTTAGGAGTGATAATAGCTTGTGGTGTCCACGTCTGATCTGGAGCAAACTTTCTACCTGGTGCAACTCTGCTTGTTTTCAATGGAACAGGTATACCTATGGTCATAGTTACTCAGGGGAATTTGTAGGTTCTAAGGCTGAGTGATGCTTCAGGTGCTCCAGGCTTGGGCACAGATGTGTTGTGGTTCATTCCTCATCCTAAAGCCACAAATCTGCAACAGGAGCAGAGAACTGGGCAATAGCTGCAGGGCTGATGCAGACTGAGCTGTGTGGCTGAAGGCCCTGCTAACTAACCTATACAGACCAGCAGAAACAACCAGGAGAGCAGATGGCAAAATGGTCCCTGTTAAGAGCACGACCGAATTCCTTAGTGTCAACACCACTGAGGGCAGACAGCTTCTTTTAAATCAGTTTATTTCTGCTTATGTTCTAAGGTGCTGACAGGGGTAGGCAGACCATGTTGTGTTGTGCCACCAGACAGCTCAAATGGTTAAGGCTGCACGAGCATCAATGATGACAGCTTTAAAAAGAAAGGGGGGGGCAAAGATTTAAGAGATTACTCACAATTTTTTTGGTGCCAGGACATAGAAATAATATCTACATACTAAGATCTGCACTTTAGAAATGGCAGTTTCTAAACCCAGGCTGTATTTGCCAGGTTCTAACATTATAACCCTGGAAATCTGTCCTCTCGGTTATAGAAAAAGAACATTTTAAATGTCCCAGGGTACCTATGAAGTGTCTGTTGCCTTTTTTTTGATCAGCCCGTGGAGGAACACCCACCTGCTCCCTCCCGGATGACCGAGCTGAGTTTGGAGCTGAAGAGGACATCCACGTGGTTGAGGATGAACTCCACCACCACGGACTGGATCCGCACCTCCATGAAGGCGGCTGTGCCACTGAAGCAGGCGGACTCGATCTGCTTGGACCACCTATGAAATGTCTGTTGCCTTTTTTTTGATCAAGGTAAAGCCTGTGGAACAACACCCACCTGCTCCCTCCCGGATGACCGAGCTGAGTTTGGAGCTGAAGAGGACATCCACGTGGTTGAGGATGAACTCCACCACCACGGACTGGATCCGCACCTCCATGAAGGCGGCTGTGCCACTGAAGCAGGCGGACTCGATCTGCTTGGACCTGGGGAGAGGGCAGGTGCCATGAAGCAGACAGGGCTTCAGGGGCAGCTAAGAGATTGAATCACATCAAAGCCTCACAGCAATGATTGTGCTGAGATTTATATCCAGGTTTGGGTGCTACTGAAACAGCAGGAGGAATGCTGGATCTGGAAGGAAAAGGAGCGTGTGCAGGTCTGGATTGAGGGCAATGAACTGTGGACAGAAAACCAGAGGCTTTTTCTTATTTTACTGTGAATAGCAGCAGTTTAATGCAGTGGAATCACACAAAGTTCACTGTGGCCTTTAATGTGACCTTTTTTATTTCCCCCTTTAAGCAGGGAATGTTTCCAACAGCTCCTGCTCAGCAAGTACCCCAATACTCACAAAAGCAACAAGAGGTCGTTTGACTGCTTGTGGGTGAATTGCCAGAAAGGAGCAAAGAGCTCACCCTCATTAACTGCACACAGGGGAATTGGTGACTTGGATTTCTCAGGTTGGTAACAAAAGCAGTCCAGAGAGCAGTACAATGGAAAAAGTCTTTTTTTTTTTTTTTCATCATCTTTTAAAGCAAAATTTTTAAATTATGGCATTAATTTTAATGAAACCAAATTTTAGGGGACAGATTTATCCAAGATCATCTCCCCAAGTTTGAATTTTTGCAGCCAAAAGCTGTCAAATTAGACTCTAGAGACTTACACAATGGGAAATCAACAGTGCCACTGAGGAGATTTTCCTGGATGATCAAAGACACTCTAGTCTCACATAACCAGGAGAAGGGAAATGATTAAAAGAGAGCTGAGGCTGGGGGGAATCCTGCCCTGCTACTCAGAAACTGCAGTCAGTGGAATTGCATTGCAAAGAGACAGAATAACACTGGCCTGTTTTCTCTAGGTGGTCCCACTGCCATCAGTGGGGGGTTATTTTACATCACAGTTTTGGAACCTTGCTGGTTGGTCTCAAGCCTGTGCTTAGAATGACTTCTGAGAACAAATTTTACAGGAGAAGAGCACATTGGATGGAAGAAAGGAACAGAAGAAAGGAAGATCTCCCAGCTGCTGAAAGCTATGATTTTCTGGAGAACAGATCTGTCTTTTTTATAAATATAAAAAGTATAAAAACCCAGTACCTTAGGAGGTTTGGAGCCCAGACTATGGCCAAGTTCTTGGTGTGCATATTTGTGATGGAGCAGTAATCAGCTAGACGAGCTAAATGTCTCATTAGGAACTCCAGTGTCCTGGAAAACAGGAGATAGGCAAATGTTCAGCACCAATGAGCAAAGCCATGCTGCAGTTCACAACACAAGCCTCAGGTCATTAGTTTCTTTTGGTTTGACAGCTCACAAAACCAAAACATTGAGTTATGTACCCTGAAAGTGATGGTACAGTTGTGTCAAGCAAATAATAACACTGGGGTGGGGTGAGGGTCTCTCCTGATTTGTCCAGGTTCAAGGAAAGGATGGTCAATGCTTCTGCTCTCAGTTCAAGGGCTGGATCCAGCAAATGTGGGGACATTCTGGATGGGGCTCCCTTCCTCACCCCCACTCTGGTCATGGGGGAGGAGATGGACTCTCCTGATGACATATAGATGGGGCTCACCTCCTCAACACCACTCCCATCTTCAGTGGAGGGGGAGAACCAGGTCACCTCTCCCCTCTGACAGGAGTGGTGGTGAGGAGGGGAGCCCCATCTATAACACATAATTAGTGAAGACTACTTACCATACCTCATTACCATAATTATTTATTAATACTGTTTAAAGAATCATTAAAATAAAGTATGTCAATGTTTTGTTATTAATACCAATCACCACTGGTTCTGTCTGATGCCTTTTTTCCACACCACACTGTAATTTTTTAATACTAAAGACATTAATGTGTTATCCTGACTCAAAGCTCATTACCATATATCACCAATTAGTTCTTAATACCACTTAATTTGAATATATCATTAGAAGTAGTTGGTGACTTTTAAACACCATATTACAGTTAATTATTCTACCAGAGCATTGTTATAATTTGCTAGTTACTATTATTCCTAGGGAACTGGGGGGGGGGATTGGAGAGAAATACACTTACTTAAAATTGAACTGAAGGCTTGAGGAAATTTTTTTTTTGCTCTATTTCTTGAGATTGTGATTTCTAGAGCTGGTAATGTGCCCCCCCTGCAATAAAACTGCTTCCTCAGTGACATCACCCACTTCTGAGCTTGTATTTATTTGCCTCCTGTACATACTTTCCAACAAAGTCAAATAAAACAATTTAAAGCCTGTAGCATTTGATAATGAGCTAATTAAAATATAAAACAACTTTATACAGTCATAAAGCATTTTAATAGAGGCAGAGTGCATCTGTCTTGTGAGGGAAAACTGGAATCCTATCTGTTCCCTCTCCAAAGCCCAAGCTCTAGCCAGCAGAAGGCTGCACTGACCTGTAGTGAGGAGGGGGCAGCTGCTGGATGACATCATGGATTTTAACCAACCGTTCTTCATCTGTAGCAGCAGAAACAGCATCCTGGAAGAAGGCAGGAAGGGATTTAGCTGCAAATAAGACCAGATACCCGCCCCCCAGCATCCTGAAGCATGTGGCCGATGTGCAGCTCTTCAGCAGCGAGGTGGATCGGGTTGCTCTTTACCTTCAGAGATGCAAATGTCACCTGGGGACAGGCTGGGCACACAGATGATGGGAGAAAGGCCAAGGAACTAAAAATCTGGGCCACTTTACAGCTTAATTGTACAGAGCAAGTCCTTGCAGAGGGCGTTGAGCTCCAAGTAGTGTTTGCTTCTAACCCTGGGGCTCTGACGCACTTCTCAACCAGCAGGATGCTACCTGGGGTGGGAGGGTGGTGCTAGGCTGGTAATTTTGGAGATAGCTGCTTCTGATCTCTCCAAAAACCCTAACCTAAGCAGGAGTAAGACAGGAGAAAGGTGTGTGGAAGACAGGTTCAGCTTGCTGCTGGGTCCTTTCTGTTGTTTCTCTCTCTAACCTGTGTAGATGAAAGGCTGAAGCACAAGGTGAAAGGTGTTGCCTTGGACTTACTGAGAACTTCTCGTAGAGCTGATAGGTGAGAAGAGGGTTGGGGAGTTCACGGAAGTACAGTTTGCAGAGGGAGCCCACACAGTGGATGTCTTGGATGTAAATATCCTTTGTCAAGTCAGGAATCTGCTCTGAGTCAAACTCGTGGCTGGAAATGAGAAGAGAAAAATGGGTAGAGGGGTTTGAAAAGGAGGAATGAAAATGAAACCCAGTCCAAATTACTGTCTAGAAAAACAAAAGTTTTGTCATTTACAAGAAAAAATAGTCACCAAAGCCACATGAACCATGGCTGTGGTGCTGCCTTAGTATATTCTTCCAAAAACAAAACTGTTTTTTTCTTCTAATAAGGCATTTTTGGTTAGTTTTACAACAGATTGGCTACTCCACAATCCCTTTTCACAAAGTCTCCAGAGAGTATCCTCCAAGCCCACTGGAGACAATCTGAGTATGGACCTCGCTCCCCAGGGCTGTGAGCAGGAGCTGCCCGGTGGAAGAGTGCCCACAGGTCTGAAGGAAAGCTGCTGTCCCTCTGCATTTCAAAGGCCTGGAAGTGGAAACAACAAAGCAAGGCCATTTGCACCACAGAAGATGAAACGTGCCTCCAGCAGAGCCCAAACACTGAGCCTGCCTCTCTGCCTGCAAAGCAGAACCAGGTTGTAGTGTCCAGGGCACCAGGTGGTGACCAGGTCAGGCAGGAGGTTCTCTGCTTCTTCAGACAAGAGCTCACCTCTGTTCCTCATGCCAGAGACAGCACAGAAGGAAACAAAGGTTTCTGTTTTCCCCAGCTGAGGGACTGCCTGTAGCCACAGCCCTCAGTATTTGGTATATGCTGCTCCCACCAGCACGTTCTGACTCATCACTTACTCATAGCTGGGAGAGAAACTTATTCCCTGCACTTGGCTCCATGGAAGAAGACAGGGCTTGGAAGGGAGCTCAGGGAAAGACACCAACCCACCCTGCATAAACACCCTCAGCCTTGGCTGAAATTATTCTAGTGAAGGGTTTGCTAGTAGAAGAACAGAACTTCACAGCCTCCCAAAAGAAGCCAGAGCCAGAATCAAACGTGCCAGCTCCACACTCGCTCCGTTGAGCCTACCAGCCACTGAGCTGCTGAAGAGCCAAGCCCTGTCCTGGACTAAATCTCCCACATGGAATAAAATCTCTAATTTCTATCCAACCAAAAAGCCCTTTAAATGCAAGAGATCCAAATCTTCTGTGTGAAACTTAAGAAGAGTGACTCATTTATAAGGAGACTGCAGCCCGAGCTTTGAAATAAGCCTAATGATCTGTTTATAGAGCTGGAAACTACAGCAACACAACATGTCCTACATTAACCAAATACTTAGGAAAATCTGTAGTGATTTAGAGGAACAGGGGTAGTGTCTATTAGTTACCCCTTCCTTTTGTCTTTGGAACATCTCAAACACCCCAAAAAATAAGCTGTGTCTGTTCTCTGTACCATACCAGGGAATGATGCCACTGAAGCTTTAGAAAACCATTTTTATGGCACCTTGGGAAAACAATGAAGGAGAAAATGGTGTTGGCAGCACTATGGGGAAGAAAAATGGACTAGGGCAGCGATTAGAAAGATGGTCCAGCACCAGTCAAAACGTGGGATTAAAGGGATGTAACTGGAACAAGGGCAAATGTTTTTATTCAGCCAAGACTGCTGCGGGCAACAGAGACTTTGGAGCCTGTACATAAAGCCTCAGGAGCAGATTTTTAAAATGGAATTTGCTGTGATGAGGAAGAGGATTAAGCTGAACCAGAATAAGCCCATCCATCCAAGAGTTTGGACAGGAACTGTACCAGCTCAAACGTGGCCACTGAACTTGGGAACAGCTGGTAGAAAAAAGGACACCCCCCCTATGGCAAACACTCCTGTGAGGCCGTGGGCCCAGGCTCAGCACTGGAACTACTCACCTCCTGCTAGGTCCCCTCAGTCCCTCCACAACAGAGAACTGCTGACCAAATGACAGGAATAAAACCAGCCTCACAAAAGGATAAAGGCCATTTACTGGGATGAGAACAGCTCCTGACTGGGGAGGACATGCCCCTAACCCTCTCCGCAGAGCCACGCAGCGTGGCAATGCCACCCAGCAAGAGCTATGCAAGTATTCCTTCATGTTACCCATCCACTGCTAATATGCTACAGCAAGGAGAAATATCAGCTGCTTAGAAGGGCTCCAGGAGCAAGAGGAAACAGTAATGAGATGTGACAGCACAGTGACAACACAATCCCAGAGCCCTCTGACGCCCTGCTCTGAAGGAGAACTTCCCCCAACACCAATTCTACCAAACAACCCCTTGTTGCTCCAAAACGGTGACAAACAGGCCCAGACCTCACACCTGCATGGAGCTGCTGGAACAGGCCACCCTACTGTCACCAGGGGCTGGGACCCAGCACATCACTCCTGTCCCCTGCAGAGAGGGCTGTCATCCCCCCCCCCCCTTACCGGAGCTTCTGGATGTTGGAGGCGATGCCGGAGAGGCGATAGATGCCATCCACAATGCCATGCTTCTCAATGAACTCAGTGCAGCTCTTGAGCACCTGGGGGACTGAACAACAAGCAGTGCTGGTTAGTTGAGCCTGTTATTGGAGTCCTAGTTCAGGCTGTGGTCTTGTTAGATGTCATAAACTAAGCCCGGCTGGGCTAGGGGTTTAGTTCTTCCTTAGAGGGAGAAGCCCGTAAGAAATTTCACTTCAGCAGTTGCTGTGGAAACAGGTCACAGGTGTTCTTTGCTTTCACGAAATGCCAGGATAGGAACTGGGTTGAAAAATGTCAATTCTGGTCAAACAGAGCCAGTGTAGGTCCCATCAGAACTCCCACAAGGGTTGCGGTGTTAAATTCCATTCCAGAAGAGCTATAAAAGTGAGTAAATACACCCTTTTTGGGCAAAGGCTGCCTTTGTTTTCCAATCTATACAGGATTAACCTATCCTGCTTGGTTTAAGGAAATACAAACACAAAGGAAATGCCACGTTCTGTACCAGGGCCAGGAGAGTTTTTACAACTGATAATTTCATCCCCAGTGTCTACTGGAGCATGACTGGATTTAGACAGCTACACAACACACCACGCTCACAGAAACTGCAGACAGACTGGGGTCATGACAGAATGGAAAAAATAAGTCCAGAGGACATAATGAGGTGTCAAGCTAATATCCAAACCTCTTCACCAGCCAATTCCTTCCAGCTGACCTCTCAGCCTCATACAGCATCCACTGCTGGAGCTATCTGTCCATCCTTGTAAGCTGAAGGAGGAGCAAATCACTTTATTTGTAACAGGGACATACAACTGTCCTGAACACAGAAGGAAAATTAGGATTGAGCTCTTGTGAGCATCAGCAAATCTCCACGGAAGAAGCTCAGATCCTTGTGGACTTCTCTGCCAACCACCTTTCTGCTACAGCTCCTGTGGTGATCTAGATTTATCCTTACATCAGATGCCAGGTCTGATCAATTTGCCATGTGACACAGATTCCGAATAGGTCATGTGGCAAATCCCCTTATATCAAGCAGCAAATGCCATCTGCCAGTCAGCTCTCCTAAGTGCTGCTGGAATTAGATGCTCTTCCCCTCCCCAGCCTCTTCACTGGGTTTTTTTCCCCACTTGCAGCAAGCCCTGGTGCAGCTAGAGAAAAGCCTCGTTTTACACGGTCCCCTGGAAATCAGCAGGTGCTTCCTGGGCTAGGGGCACATCTGCTGGAGTGCAGGAGAGGAGAAACCCTGTAAATCTGTGTGGCACGTCAGTCACAGGCTCAGCCAGAGCAGATTAGGCCCTGGACCTGTGCAGAAGGAAACGTCAGCACCAGCTCTGAAGCAAACGGTGCCTCCTGCAGCCCTGTGAGCTGAGGAGCACCACAGTTTTTGGCCAGAGGGGTAAATCAGAAGCACATTTAGGCACCCGAGCCAGGAAAAGCAACAACTTCTCCTTGCTGAGTGAACAGCACGTTCATACAACGTGTGTCAGTCACTCACAACCCTGGGACTACGTGTCAGAGAACAGAGCAGGCAGAACAGACGCTCTGAAGTTCTCCCAAAAAAACACTTTTTGAGGACAATGCTTGCCCTTTTATCAAAAAGATTCAACACCTCTTGAAGAAGAAAGGTGTTAAGGCTTTCAGTGGACAGGGAAGGAGTTATCTCATACTCAAGCAGTTGCCAAAAAGGGCTAAAATATGGTTTGCATCGTGCTACAGCATTAGGAGACAAGTGTGAGGAGGAATGAACTGGTGCAGAAAAGCAGCAGGATGAGAACAGCACCATCCACTGCAGCAGGAGTGAAGGACAAGGCTTCAGATGCTGTCTTCTGTGACCAAAGAGAGCACCCTGGGTTGCAGGACACACTAGACTCCTGCTGATTTTGGTTTCACAGAGAAACAAAGACCACGTGAGACATCCACACACGGGTGTGTCTCTACACAACCCCAACTCTTGCAGCCTCTCCCCACAGCAGAGGGGTTCCAGCCTTCTAATCATGTCAGTGGCCCTCCTCTGGACCCACCCCCACAGGTCCATGTCCTCCTTGTGCTGGGGACTCCAGGGCTGGAGGCAGCACTCCTGGTGGGGTCCCACAAGAGTGGAGTCGAGGGGGAGAATCAGCTCAGGAGGGGTCCCCTCAGTAGGTACCTGAAGATAGTAGCACCCATTTAAATTAATAATTAAGAAAATAAAGGTGTGGGGAGAACAGGGGGAAGGTGATGGGTGTAGGACCAACAATACACCTCCTAAAGTGCTTATTTGTCATGGAAGAGCCTGAGCATGGTTTGAATAATTGCACTGAAAAAATTCTAGCAGGCTTGTTCTACATGTTTCCTAATCTGGTTACCAGGACGAGCTGTTCTTTAAGCTAAATATATCATGCCAGCACCACAGATATTTTGGGGGAATTCTGCATTGGTTGGAGAAGTGACTGAAAGTCAAGTAGGGCTGTAATTAAACCTGAAGGCACTTTGCTGGAACGGAGACTTCATTCTCAGATTTTTGAACACAGATGATGCCTGACACGTGTGTTTAACCTCCCTCTGCCCGTTCAATGCCAAGCCCTGCAGCTAAATGTACACTTATATGTGTGTGTAAATACACACCTATGGAGGAAAGGGTCTGCTGCCACCAGAATCAAACAGCAGGACAACAGCACAAGCTAAGACTTAATTTTGCAAGTGTGAAGTGGGCCAAGACCACCACCTATGTTGGTTTCTGACACGATGCTGGGGCTTTTTCAGGTCCTTATCTCTGTCTGTTGCATAAATCCCTCTCCCCTGCTGAA